GTGTTGGCTTTGAGTCAGTCACAGAGTTGAATTTGAGTTTTGATATGGAGAAATGTATTCATCGTTGACCTGAAATGCAAGTTTAACTGAAGGTTGTATATTTTATCTGACAACCCTACTCCAGGATCCTGGAATTCTGATGGGACGGCAGTTTAAACATAAGGCTGCACACCAAAGGTCAGTGGTTCAAACCCACCAGAGAAAGGAGAAGTAGTCTGATTCCATAAGGATTTTCAGCCTTGGAAACCCCATGGGGCAGTGCTCCTGTGTCTTACAGAGTTGTTAACGAGTCAGAATAGACTCAATGGCAGTGACTTTGGGGGTTGATATGTTTTACCCCTTTTGTTTTAAACAGGACTCTGGTGGCCTAGTGGCAAGAAGCTGCACTGCAATCCCGGAGGCACACAGTTCAAAGCTACCAGCTGCTCCACAGGAGAAGTATGGACACTCTCCTCTCGAGAGAGTAACTGCCTCTGAAAACCCATCAGCAGGTCAGCTATGGGTCGGTTCCATCTCTACAGTACACAACAGCATCATACTTTGAGCCCTGGTGGTCTAGTGGTAAAACTCTGTGCTGCAATCTCAAAGACCTGCAGTTCAAATCCACCAGCTGCTCCATGGGAGAAGGATGGGCAATCTCCTCCCGTGCAATTACTGCCTCTGAAAACCCGCCGGAGGGTCAGCTATGGGCCACTTCCAACTTGATGGTACACAGCAGCACAACAATCATACTTTGAAGGAAGCTCTGGTGGTCTAGTGATTAAGGAGCTGTGCTGCCAATCCAAAGGCAGGTGGTTTGAATCCATCAGCTGCTCTGCAGGAGGAAGATGGACAGTCTCCTCCCATGTGATTTACAACATCTGAAAACAGCTGGACGGTCAGCTGAGTTGGTTCCAACTCCATGGCAATAAGGAAGCTGAGTTATCACACTTTTTTAATATATAGATTGTCTCTGTTTTCTAGTTTAATCCTTTTGATCCCTTTGAGAGCTAAATGTTCCATTTTGAAGAAGAGCTCAGAAATGTCTGGTAACTTGTCTAAGGTCTTATAATTCGAAAGGGGCAAAGCAAGGATGGAAACCTGGGTCTACTAAGACCAAAAGTGTTGTGTGCCTTCAAGTTGATTCCCCCAACTTCTGTAAAGTTAGAATATATGAACATCAGCATCATGCTTGGAAAGGAAATCTTCCCTAACAGATCAGAGATAGGTTCAAAGCTACAACATAGACACAGGAATGTGATTTGAGATGTGAAAAAAGACTTTCCTCACCATAAACTATCTCCAACAGTCCCGCTTGACTTCAAATGTCCACATTCAGATGTCGTACCTATGTTTTGAGGAGGACAGTGTGAGCCTCCCTCTTCTGCTACAATTAAAAAGGCTACAGGGGCAGGGCATGACATCAAAGAATCAATTTGAGATATATCATAAATCTAAAAGTGAGAGATAAAATAACAGAACTTCTGAAAGTGACCTCGGGGTTCGCAGAGGTCTCAAACAAGACATAAAAAGCTCTGACATAAAAGGAGGGGAAATGGGAAATCAGACTTCTCAAACATTATCTTCTGCTCATCAAAAGACATCATTAAGACTGAAAATGTATGCCACAGCCAGTGGAGAGACAAAGACTTTGTACTCGGCATGTATAAAGAGCTCTCATAAATCAATATGAAAAAGACAACCCTTTCAGAAATAGCGAGCAAAATGATTACACAGTTAAATAGGCATTTCTCACACACACACACACACACACAGAGAGAGAGAGAGAGAGAGAGAGAGAGAGAGAGAGAGAGAGAGAGAGAGGAACTGGAAAAGCCAGTGAGTGTATGAAGGCCGTCATCAGAAAAATGCAAATAGCAATACAAGGACGTGGACCCCAGCACACAGCTTAGAAAGCAGAAATGAAAACATAGTGAAACTAAGTGAGGGAAAGTGTATTCACAGCACCGCGTCCGTTGCCACTCTTGGGAGGTGTTTGATACCCACTAAGCCTGTGCTGACCAGTGATCTACAGTGTCCCCACTCGACTGCAGGCTCCAGCTACCACTGGACAAGGCTGATTTATAGTGCCCCCAAACATGTGCAGATCCCAAAACACAACAAGCAAACCAAAGTTTAGTTGGGTTTTTCAAAGGGTTGGAAACAACCCAAGTGCCCATCAACAAATGAATGGATAGAGAAGCTGTGGTATATTCACACAATGGAATACTACCCGCATTAAAAAAAACAAGGAACTCACGAATTAAACAAAATGGGTGATCCTGGAGGACATTATGTTGAGTGAAATATCTCAGTCACAAAAGGACAAAAATGGCATAGTGCCTCTGTTATAAAACAGGGCTGACATGGGGCTGGTAGTTGGCCGTGTCCACCCATCTCAAGAGTCTTCCTCTCACTTACTGACCTTTCCCAGTCTGATTTCTCTCTCCTCGAACTGTTTCCTCCTCAAAATGTGCCCAGAGTAAATGGAGGCCCTCAGGGGAGATCCACCCTGTCTTCTAGGGTTGACCCAATGTCAGTATTTAATAGTTGATTGAGGACAGATGCTTTCCATCATCAATGTGGAGACAGGGCCTCTGAAAAGAAACAATTGCTAAAAGTGAGGGGCATTGTCTGTGCAGAGCTGCGCTGTGATCCCAATGGCCACCCCTCTCTGGCAGTTCAAATTCACCAATGGCTATGGGGGAGGAAACCAGGGGATTTATGGCCTTGAGTATCCACTGCGGGATCAGCTAGGCATCGGTCCCAACTCCAAAGCAATGAGCGAGTGAGAGGAGATGGTAATATATCAGTTGGAGACCTTAAGATTTCCCAAGTTCTGTCAAAATTTCAGTCTCAAGACTAGAATGTACCTAATAAAAGCTGCAACCTCGCACCTTTGAGCAGTAGCTTCTGCTCCTAAAGAAAGATGCTTTCGCAAAAGAGTGGCTATCATTAGAAGGGAATGAAGGAATAAGAGTTTATCGACGTTGGGGAAAAGTGCCGTCACCAAGGAGGGGATGTGCTCCCAGTGTTATGGGAGAGTGTTCGTGGGTAAGGATCCGGAGCCACCCTCGAAGGGCGAGGCTGCGGTGAAGAAAACAGAGACTTCTTCAGGAGGGAGATGTGGCTGCCCGAGTCGTCCAGGGCGAGGCAGGCCAGGGAGTGAGACGGGAGTAAGGGAGCACTCCGAGCATACAGGAGGTTAACCCAACGTGCGATGCTCTCCTCTCGGCACCGCGATCTCATCTCAAACAGCCTTGCTTCTGAGGTTTCCATTTCTTCCCCTCTCCCTGAACATTTCATTGTGCTTTGGGTGAAAATTTACAGAGTACAAATTCAGTTCTCAGTTAACAATTTTTGCATACGGGTTATGATTTTCACAGTGTGTCAGCATTCTTGTTCTTTGCATCTGTTTGTTCTGACTGTCCCGCCTGTCCCCACTCTCTCATGGACCATTTGATGGTGTAGAATTGATTGGGCAGGGGAACCCACTCACTGGTGATATGGTAAAATATGGTGTATTTTAGGAACCAACATTGTGTTGGGCTGAAAGGTGAATTGTGCAAATTGCTCTTGTAAAAATGGTCACCAAGATATCCTAGGGGTTTCCATCATCCACGTGGAGACAGGGCCTCTGAAAAGAAAGAATTGCTGAAAGTAGGGGGCACTGGCAGTCTCAACCAGTTCAGTCAGGTCTAGTCTTCTTTTTTTTTAGATGGTTGTGTTTTTTTTCTTTATTTTCCTCCATTCTCCCGAGGACTTCCTGCTGTATCCATGGTCTAAGAGGGGTAGTAGGAACTGGACACCATGTAATTCTTCTCAGGCCATGGCTCTTCTAGACTATTAGGCTTAACTGCAAGTTTTTGGCTGTTGGGTGACCAAGAACACCAATTAAAAATTTAGGAAAGCTCTTTTTGTCTGTAGCCAAAATCAAGTTCAGTTCCTTTGTGGTTTCTCATCTTGTCCTGGATTCCAAGATTTTTCCATGCTGAGTGGCCAAGTGCACCAATTTAAAAGGAAAAGAAAAATCAAGAGCTTGTCTTGCTTGTAGCCAAAATAAAACTGTCCCATGTGGCTTCTCACCTAGCTAAAACCCTTCTAAGGCCCTTCAATGTACCTTTCTGCATGGTAGGAAGATTCTATATTTTCTTTTTCATTTGCTCTGACATACGTCTCTTGCTTATTCCATGTCTGTCTCAAAGGATGAGGAGATCCAGGTCATCCTCGTACAAAGGTGAGCACATTGGCCGGGTACCCCAGACTGTTAAGAAGAATGTGCCATCTGTATCTGAAAGCAGGCAGCGTGAGAAAGCCACAGTCCCTTGTCCACGTGTAACTCGACCCAGAGAGGTGGTGTTATTATTAGATACTGTTTCGATTAGATACACTTTCGATTTAGAAAGGGATTATCCTCATGTCAAACCTGGCCAGAAGCCCTGGTCATACAGTGGCTCAAGCACTTGGATGCTAACTAAAAGTTCACTAGTTCAAACCTATCATTCACTCCTTGGGAGCAAAAACGGGGCAGATTGCTTCTGTCAAGATACAGAGCCTTGGAAACCCTAAAGGACGTCATACGAGGTCCTTTTATGTCACTACGAATCAGGATCAGCTCAACAGCAGTGGGGCTTTACACCTAGAGAAAGACCAAGGAGAACTAGAAAAGCACAAATACTGGGCTGAAGTGATTGAAGCCAATTCAGGTATAGAGTAATGTGAGATTTCCGTTAAATGCTAAAACGGAGAATTTTTGAGGAAAAAGCAAAGTCTAAAGAAAGGAAATGGAATAATATTCTTTTCACCCCTATTTCTGAAGGGATCCCACTAACAGTAGTGTGTGTGTGTGTGTGTGTGTGTGTGTGTGTGTGTGTGTGTGTGTACACACAGAGAAAGGAGAAAGAAGGAGGGCAATAACATTTTGGAAGCTGAAAGCCTGATAAAGGAATGATAACCAAGTTAGCAGAGCTGAGGAGACTGATTTCTAAGCCAGCAGTGGCAGATACGGAGATGTAACCTACTTTGCAGCGCCGAACCTCTTAAAGATGCAGACACTGGCGGCCACGGGCTCTGCTGGAAGTGGGAGGAGAGAGGGGGCTAAAAAGAGGAGCCTGCAAATCTATTTAGAAAGTAATTACACCACTGATCCCCGTCGCCCTGCACCATCTGGAAAACTGATTACCCTTGAGAGTTTATTTGCTGGACAAGTAGATAAAATGGAGAACTCGGGGATGAGAGACTGGAAGCACAAGAGAAGTTGCTCACATATGGTGCTGAGAACACACTGATGTCACATTTTATGTATCCCCACCCTCTTCACCAGTAAGACCCCACACCCAAGGCCCCAGTCCACATACACAGGCTTAGCTCCAAAGAAGACACGTGGCTGAAAAGGTGAGAGACCTCGAAGCCCAGCTCTTGTTCTGCTGACCAGTCAGTCACACGCCTGGGTCCTGATTCGCACCTTTCCTCAGTTATAGGAGGAAGATTCAGACATAGAAGCCAAGTCACAGGGAAGGTGCCATTCCCTTATCCTCCCCCAAGCATGATAGGGACTTAACAGTGGCCCTGATTGGCTGCTGGCAGCCATATACAACTTTTGTGAAAGATCTTACTCTGAGACACCCTGTGAGCCTTTCCAAGATTCTAAAAAATGACCCACCCAGCCAGGTTACATTGCCGTAAAGCCACAGTTGAGAAACTGTGTATACCTAGATTCACCCTAACACAAGTATACAGACAAGAATCCTGTCTGAGGAAATGAAAATAGGCTGTAAAATGCAAATTGGAGGAAATTTGTTTAAAAACCCCCAAACCAAAACTCCTTAGGGTCTTCAGAGCAGGGAAAACATGACCAGCACGTGAAATGAGAACAGGGAGATATGAAAAAGAAACAGAACTAGACAAGATTTTTGAAAACTAAAATAGAGATAGGAAATGTGGAATAAAGATCACATTAATCTCTAAGATAGTAGATTTAAAAAAAAAACAAACGAAACCATTTTTAAATGAGAGGAAAGCAGGGAGGGGGGAATCAGAGATCAGAAATCCAATTACCAGGAAACAAAAAAAACCCCATAAAAGGTGGTTTTCTAGAGGTGCCAAAGATACCCATCAAGCACTAAGGCCAATATTTTGCTGTCGTGTGCCAGGGTGCCAGAACTAAATGAATGATAGCTGACCCTCCAGCAGGTTTTGAGAGGCACTTAATAACACAAGAAGAGATTGTCCATCCTTCTCCCACAGAGCAGCCGGTGGATTTGAAACACAAGCCTTTGGGATTGCAGTGCAATTTCTTTCCACGAGACCACTAGAGTTTAGGATTAAAAGAATGCAGACACACCTGGTTTTGCTGCAGTTCACAGATACTGTATGTTGTACAGTCTTGCCTCAAGCAGATCCATTGGCACCATTCTTCCAACCATGTGTTTATTTTGTGTCTCTGTCTCATTTGTATAATCATCACAATATTCTGAACATTGTCATAATATAATGATAGTGCACCCTAATACACTCCTATTATTTTAATGTAAACATAACTTTTCTGTGGCCTGGGAAATTAAAAATATATGTATGACCTGCTTATTGCAATAGTATAGAACTCAGCAGACAGCATTTCTGAAGTGTATCTACTACTTATCAAAGCAAATCATCTTGGGATTTCAGAACATTAAGGATGAAGAGAAAAAGTTCTAGAGCTTCTGTGGAGTGATAAACGAGCTACAGGATGTTCAGTCTGCACAATCAGAGTTGCTTCCAACAGCTCAATAGCAAGAGAGTGGTAAATAAAATGCTTTCATGATCCTAAAGGGAAGTAAGTGGCTTCGAATCCTACACATGGCCCAAGCCACCGAGAGGAGTTAGGGTAGAATGAAGATCTGCAGGGCCCATGACGGTCTCATGCTCTCTTTCTCAGAAAGTTACTGGAAAATATGCTCCTGAGAAAGGAAATTTATGCCAAGAAGCAGAAAGTGAGCAGATCCAGGAGTGGAGATTCCAGGGGCGGAGAGGGAGAGTGCCGCCTGTCGGTGGTGATGGGACTTGCAAGATGGGTGCACTTCTCGCCCAGCACAGGTCAGAAGAATTCCTGGGGAGATGTTTCTAAAGATAATATTGATAAAATAAGGACAAATGTTGTATAAGCCACGATTGTGATAATAGGAGGATAAATGAGTTTATACCTATATCTATATCTATATCTATCTCTATCTATATCTATATCTATATCTCTAATCTCCATCTATCTCTATCTCTATATCATCTGTCTATATCATCTATATCTATATATCTATCTAATCCTCTATATCTATATCATCTATATCTATGTCTATGTCTATATCTAATCATCTTTATCTATATATCTATCTAATCCTCTATATCTAATCCTCTATATCTATATCATCTATATCCGTGTCTATGTCTATATATCTAATCATCTATATCTATATATATCTATATATATCTATATCTATCTAATCATCTATATCTAATCCTCTATATCTAATCCTCCATATCTAATCATCTATATCTATATCATCTATATCTCTAGCTATGTCTATATCTATATCTAATAATCTATAGCTATATCTATCTATATATAAAATGTTTAAAAGGGGAAAGGAAGAAGGAGGGACAGAAAGGGAGAAAGGAGGTAAAAAAATTACTGGGATATTTGGTGCTTCCTCAAAAAGCTGAACATAGAAATTCCATATGACCTAGCTATTTCATTGAATGGACTATACCCCAAGAAAATGAGAACTAAGGCTCAAATGGAAACTTTCACACCAATGTTCATAGCAGCATTATTCATCATTGGAAAAACATGGAAATAGCCCAGATGTCCAACCACAAACGAATGGATTAAGAAGTTGTGGTACATTCAGACAATGGAATACTACGCAGCATACAGGAGCAATAATTTTGTAAATTGCTATCTAACTTGAGAGGGACTGGAGAATATTATGCTGAGTGAACTAACTCTGTCCCACAAGGACAAATACTGCATAAAACCATTATTGTAGAACAAATATGAGGATCCAAAGTAGGGGAGGGGGGAGGGTGTTAATCATAGGGTTGCACAATTCAATGGGTGGTGGAGTGAAGGAAATGGGAAAGGTCCTTTGTTAAAAACAATGTATTCAAACTTTGTAAATAAATCAGAGTAAAATTTAAAAAAAATTTTAAAATTACTAGGAGAACAGAGGTTGGTGGGTGGATGGGGTAAAGGTTTGGGAAATGATCAATGGGGACTTGAAAAGACATGATAGTAGACATGGAGCGATGGTACTTATATGTAATATGCATAAAAAATGTATATGAACTATTGTAAAAAAACACAAAGTACGTGTACAAAATGTAATGTATATGAATCATTATATGCAAACTAATTTAAAAATTCTTTAACAATTTATAAAATGCCTGATGTGTTTGAACATAGGAAGAACACACTGCTCGTTCAATGAAGGTTTTAAGGCTTCATTCACATTAACGACATACAACCAAGCAAAGGAAAACTAAGACAATTATTTATTTTAGGGAAAAGAGAAGAAAGGAAAAGTAATTGAAAGCACTCTATTACCCAGAATATGGATGGAGTTGCATTGTCAAAATAATAGTGAAGATTGAAAATAAGAGTGTGTTGCACAGTTGTTAGAGCGTTTGGTTGTTGACCAAAAGGTCAGCAGTTCCAGTCCACCAGCTGCTGCAAGGAAGAAAGATAACGCAGTCTACTTCCATAAAAATTGGGTCTTGGAAACGCTACAGAGACAGTCCTGCTCCACCCTATAGGTTCTAGATGAACTAAAATCAACTTACTAGAAGAGAGTTTGGCTTGAGTTGGTTGAGGCAGGTGAGCACGAGTGTGTCAAGGTAGATAATACGACATGTTGTAAGGAGAGACATGTCTTTGGAGAGGGACATCATGCTGGTTAGAGTAGAAGGACAGCACAGGAGGGGAAGACCCTCTATGAGGTGGATTGATTCAGTGACTGGGGTACTCGGGATGGGTGTGTCAGAGGCAATGAGATTGGCACAGGATAGAGCAGGGTTTAGGGCTGTTGTACATAGGGTCGCTATGAGTGGCAAACGACTCGATGGCACATAATAACAACAACAACAACAGGAAAAATGAGATGATGTGGAGACAGGTTATTTTACAATGTGGAGGAAACAACAAAAGAAATGGGCTTGAAAGTATTTACTCCAGTTGTTGAGTACTGTCGAGTCATAATCAATATCTAAGTCCAGCAGGTTTCACAATAGGAGAGCACATGGGAGAAGATTGCCCGTCTCTCATGGAGCAGATGGTGGATTCAAACTGCATACCTTTGGGCAGGGCAATTCCTTAGCACTAACTTGGGAATCACCATGTATTAAGTAGAATATGTTGGCTTATTAAACAATGTAGTATATAACATTAATAAAACTTTTTTTAAAAAACTGAGAGGAATATATATATATTTAAGAAAGAAGAGGAAGAAGTCACTCTTGAAATAAAGTTTTGGTTGAAATAGAAACAAGATGTTCTTAGTAATCAGAAATAAGAGACTCATAAGGCAAAACTTTAACTTGTTGTTGTGATGTTGTTAAGTGCCGTCCAGTTGTAGACGACTCATAGCGACCCTATGAATGAAAGTCCTCAACACTTGTGTGATTTTCATCCTTTCTCCAGGTTCATAGGATTTCTGGAGGCAAGCTATTTATGGAAGTGGATGCCACTCCTGCTTCCAAGCTTGTTCTAATCAGGGAGTGCCACCAACACTGTCAAACTTTAACTAGAGATTCTATAATTATTAAAAGCAAGTCTTGGAAACTGTTGAGTTTACAGGGAAAATGGCACTAAGAAAGAAGGGGACTTGGAAGCAAACATTCATATCCCCCATGTAGACTATCAGGGAGAAATTGTTATCATTAAGAGCAAAGAAGAAAATCTGGAAGAATGGGAGTTTCTATAGGAAGAGGGTGGAGGAAGTGATCAAGGTCAAGTGCTGGGGGCTTGTCAAAGAGGCCCAGACCATTAGAGAATAAATAATGAAACAATTCTAAATGGGGTATTCTAATCGAAGGATTAAATT